AAAAAAAATTGGTAGTAATGGATTTTGATACAGGAAGTTTAAAAATTAGATTTCTCATTAAGAAACACAAAGATAGGACCAGCAGGTGGCGTGGTTGTTAAGGCACTGGACCCTTCACATGGCAGACCATGGTTCAAGTCCCAGACCAGGAGGCCTGAATACACCGAGCACATTGTGCGTGTGTGCCCAAAACCCCAGAAGGAGATTGAATGAGTAGGGACTGTGGCATGGTCACCCACCCTGGGAGGTAATCTCTCACTTTCCCTCTCACCATCTCTTTTTATCGGGTGCACACACCCTATGACAAAACCTTAGAAAGAAAGAAAGGAAAGGAAAGGAAAAAAAGAAAAGAAAAGAAAGAAAATTGAAGACGGACGTTTCTTTCAGAAAAGAAAACACTGTCTATAGAACTAGGAATCTATTACTCCAAAAGCAGTAAATCATGAAAATTTAAGTTTAAAATCTAAACAGCTAATGTTACTTTTAATAAATTATTTAAGTCCTCTAGCTCTATGCAATCAATTACAAATTACTACATTACAAGGGGCTAACCTCACAGATCACTAGTGTTAAAGGCTCCCTTGGAGTAAGAATTAAAATCATTGCAATGGTCCTACATATTCTAACCTTTTCCACCCTCAGTCTTCACCTCTTGTACATCTACTACTCTTCCTCTTTTTCATTCTATTCCACATTGGCATCTTTACTGTTCCTCAAGCATGCCAGGCATATTCTTGCCTTAGTGCTTTTGAATTACTGATTCCTCTTCCCGAGGATATTCCCCTTGACTTGCTCCCCTACTTCTTTCAGGTATTCTCTCCAGTGGTATACCTTCAATGAAGCATTCTCTGGTCACCACTAATGAAAAAAGGAATCCCTAATCATGATATTCCCTACCTCACCCCCATTTTATTTTTTTCTACCTCTTTCTCTTTTTTTCTTGTAGAGTTTTTTTTTTTTTTTTTGCTATAGGACGTGTGCACTCTCCAGAAAGACAGAGAGAGACAGAGAGACAGAAAGTGAGAAATAACTCCCAGGGGGAATGGCCACGCCACAAGCCCTTCTCCTCCATTCTCCTCTCGGGATCTTGGGCATGCACACATGCGTGCCTGGCGTGAGTTTAAGCCACCAGGTCCGGGACTCGAATCGCGGTCGACTACATGGGAGTCCAGCAACACAGCCATTATGCTAACTGCTGTTCCCTCTACTTATTTCTTACTCATTCAATTTATTTCTATTGCTTATAACCTGCTTCCTCAAGCACAATATAACCTCAACAATGACAAGTTTTTTTGGTTTGTGCATTTCTATATCATCAGCACCTAGAACAACAACTGGTGTACAGGAGATACTAAATTGATTGTTGAATGAATAAATATATAAGGTTATTTTCAGTAGCAAAATTCTTTCAATCCAAAAAGAGATTGAATTGTACATAAGAATAAACCCATAATTAGTAGCCAGAAGAAGCTAGAAGATATAAACAAGTTCATCATAAGATTTCATTATTTTTTTGTTTTAGGTTTTTGTCTCAAGGTACATGCATTCATCAGAGACAGAGAGGGAAAGTGAGAAATTTTCCCCCAGGGGGGATGGCAAGGCTGCAATTCCTTCTTCTCCATTCTTCTCTTGGAATTTGGGGCACACACACACAGTGCTCGGCATGATTTTCAAGCCAGGGGCTCGAACCATGGTCAGCCATGTGGGAGTCCAGCCAACTTACCCACCATAGCACCTGGTGGCGCCCACCTTAAAATCATCTTATTTCTTTTTCCCTCCCAGTGGGTATGTATGCTCTTGCATATGCTCACAAGAGAAAGAGTAAAACCTCCCCCTAATGGGGCATGGTCACGCTGCAAGACCTTTTCTTCCTTTTCTCCTTCCTGTCAGCATTTTGGGTCCTCAAGTACACATACCCAGTACGTCTATCAAGCTGTCAGGGCAGGGATTCAGACCACTGTCAGCTAGGTGGAATACAGCCCTCATGCACAGGGCTTAACTCACTGCACTATGGGGTTGGCCCAAGCGCTTTATCTTTAACATCTGGGGAAGTGTTTCCTAGAATCATTCTTAGCAATGACTTACTCCATGGGAATAATCATCAGCCTAATCCACACATAGCAACTGTAATGAATTTTAGTGAAAAACATTTCTAAGTACCAAATACTTCAAACACTCAGTTTTGTTTATTTCGTTTTTTTAAAGATAGGATCTCGCCAGGTCAGTGATCCCCCGGCCTCACTCTCCCAGTTAGTAATATAAACATGGCTCATTTTTTTAAACAGGGTCTTACTACCCAGGCAAGTCTCAAGCTCGCCCTCCTGCTTCAGCCTCCAAGTCACTGGGATTAAAGGTATATAACACCACCCCTGGCTTTTAGGTTAGACTGGAAATTGAACCTGGGTCTCCAATGTGGTTGGAGCCTGTGGAACATGGCATCTTAGCAGCGAGCACCAAAACTGTGCACAAACATTTGGTTTTTAAAAATGAAGAAATGTGCTAGTGAGGGAACTTGAAATTATTGCAATGTTAAAAGTGGCCTTTATCTTAAAAAGAAAGCAATATAAAAGGATTTTTCAGGCCAAAAGAAAAAAAAAAGGACAGGAAACAAAGGAAATCCCTATTAAACCACTAACAGCTTTGCAAGAGAAATCTGTGTCAAGGAGAACAAACTTTTTAAAGCCATCTAATCAGTATAGTCCCACCGATTCAGAGAGATGATATAAAATACCCATATTCTATTGAGTTGTTGGAAAATTCATGAGTCATTTTTCTTTTTTTTTTTTTGGAGAGGTTTTTGCTATAGGGCATGTGTGCTCACCGGAAAGAGAGACGGAAAGACATAAAGCGAGAAATCAACCCCTAGGGGGGATGGCCACGCCGCAATCCCTTCTCCTCCAATCTCCTCTTGGGATCTTAGGCACGCACGCACACACGCCCAACTTGAGTTTAAGCCACTGGGCTCAAAACAGGGTCAACTATGTGGGAGTTCAGTGACACAGCCATTACGCAAACTGCTGGTCCCCATGAGGTATTTTCTATGTAAAAATGTGTCATGACTGAGACCAGCAGGTAGCATAACAGCTATGTCGCTGGACTCCCATGTAGTCGACCGTGGTTCGCTTCCCGGACCCGGTGGCTTAAAACTCACACCAGGCATGTTTGCGTGTGTGCCAAAGATCCCGAGAGGAGAATGGAGAAGAAGGGACTGCGTCATAGCCATCCCCCCTGGGGGGTGATTTCTCACATTCTATCTCTCTGTGTCGCTGTCTGTCTGGCGAATGCATGTGCCACCTCTCCAAAAAAAAAAAAAAAAAGTGTCATGACTTTTCTGATGACCAATTATTTCCATAGTTTCATCTGTCTAGAGAGGGTAAAAAAAAAAAAAAAAAAGAATACAATAACAAAATCTCATCTGCATTTTCCAAAATAACCAGTCATTCTACCTAATTTTAAAAAGCTGAAGGCCACCCCTGTGGCCTAGTGGATAAGGAAGCTAGATCCCACACAGTCAACTGTGCAGTTCAAATCCCAGCCCTGGCAACTTGAAAAACATGCTCAGCACATGCACATGATGTTGTGTATGTGTGCATGTCTGGAGTCAAAATACCAACAGGATGGAGAAACAGAAAAGGGACTGCAATGCAAGTGAGGTCTTCTTTTCTCTCTCTAAAGTGCACATGCATCCTCAAACAAATAACAAATAAAGGTGTTTGAAACAAAGGGCTGGGAGGAGGTGTGGTAGTTAGGGGTGCTGGACTCCTCCCCACATGGCTGACCACGATTTGAGTTCCAGATCTGGCAGCTTGGATTGTCACTTTCTTTTTCTTGCTCCATCTCTCTCTGGTCAAATTGAAATAAATAAATGTAAGGACCAGCAGATGGCACAGTGGTTACATCACTGAACTCCCACATGGCCCACCATGGTTGGAGTCCCAAATCCAGGGACTTAAAACTCATGCCAGGCGTATGTGCATTTATGCCCAAAATCTCAAGAGGAGAATGGAGAAGAGACTGCAGTATGGCCACCCACAGAGGTGACTTCTCATTTTCTATCTGTCTGCCTGTCACTTCAGCTTGCGCACATGCTCTATAGCAAAAAATCTCGTGTTAAAACACACACACACACACATACACACACACACAGTAACTACTTCACAGCATTTCCCATTTATGAATTTTGGTAATTAGGTTATAAAAAAGGAACTTAAGTGGGATCAGCAGTTAGTGTAATGGCTATGTCGCTGGACTCCCATGTAATCGACCGCAGTTTGAATCCCGGCCCAGTGACTTAAAACTCACGCCGGGCGCGTGCCCAAGATCCCAAGAAGAGAATGGAGGAGAACGGATTGCGACTTGGCCATCCCGCCTGGGGGGTGATTTCTCGATTTCTGTCTCTCTGTCTCTGTCTTTCTGGCGAGCACACACGCCCTATAGCAAAAACTTCTACAAAACAAAAATAATAATAAAAAAAAAAAGAACTGGGACCAGCAGTTAGCGTAATGGCTATGTTGCTGGACTCCCATGTAGTCAACCGCAGCTCGAGTCCCGGACCCGGTGGCTTAAACTCACGCCAGGAGCGTGTGCGTGTGTGCCCAAGATCCCGAGAGGAGAATGGAGGAGAAGGGATTGCGGCGTGGCCATCCCCTCTGGGGGGTGATTTCTCGCATTCTATCTCTCTGTCTGGCAAGCGCACACGCCCTATAGCAAAAACCTCTCCAAAAATAAAAAAAAAGGAACTTAAGGAAAAAAAAGAGAACTTAAAAACCTTTGTCTACTATAAAAGTATAGCTTTTATACCAAAACAGGATGTTTGCCAATTACATGCTCTTGTACAAAATTTGAAGAAACAGGTTTAAAATACTATAGTTCTGTAATTGTTACTTAATCCTTTCATAAAATTTTCAGAATATCAAGTTATGCAAAATCAATTGTGCAAAGATTTCAACTTCAAAAAAGTTTTACTTTTTTTTTTATTAAAAGCACACTCACTTAGTTTCATCTTTTTGTAGACTCATTCTTTCTTCCATAATTACGCCTTTGGCTTCAACTTTTTCTACCACTTGCCTCTGTCCAGACTTTCTTACATTTGGCCAAGGTCTCTGAAGGCGGCCCCTTACTGGTTGAGAAGGTTGGATAACACTGTCCTTCACTTCTTCTTGGAATGTGTTCCTAGTAGGAGTCCTATTATGGAAAAGGGGTTAGGGAGAAAAAGAAGGAGCTCAACTATAGAAAGTTAAAAACTATGATAAAAATATAAAATTTATAAATATCACCTAATAAACACTATAAAATATCCTTGTACCAGTACAGAATTATTTCCTGATTATAAATATACCTGATTTTATAAAAGAAAATAGTTACTTTAATACTCAAGAGGAAATAAACTTATATGATGTACTTATAGGAACTAAATTGATAAAGACAAAGTAGAATGGTAGCTGTCAGGGAATGGAAGACAGGGTGAGTAGGGAGTTAATGTTTAACAGATACAGAGTTTCAGTTTGTGAAAATAAAAAACTTCTGGAGATGAATATACAACAATGTTAGCATACTTAATACTACTGCACACATAAAAATAATTAAAATGGCAAATTTTATTCTATGAACATCTTATCAAAGGGCATGTGGCATGGCGGCTAAGGTGCTGGATTCTCTCATGGTGGACCACAGTTCAAGTTCTAAACCTGGTGGCTTGCTTTCCCTTTCTTTTTCTGGTGAGTGCATATGCCGTACAGCAAAAATTTTTTAAAAATGTATATATGTATCTTATTTGTTATTATTATTATTGACCGGAGAGAGACAGGGAGAGAAAGGGAAAGTGAGAAAGCAAGTTGCCAGGTCCGGGACTCAAACCAAGGTCGGCCATGTGTGAGTCCAGCACCTTAACCACTGTGCCACCTGCCAGCCCCCCTACAGCAAACTTTTTAAAAATAAAAATAGTAATAATAATTTTTAAAAAGTGATGAACATAGAAAGATAATTAAAAAAAAAAAAAAAAAACTAACAGCAAGGCTAGCAGGTAGTGTAGCGGTTAAGCTGCTAGACTCCCACGTGGCCAGTGCAGTTTGAGTCCCAGACCAGGCAGCTTGAGAATCACGCCAGGCACGTGGCCATGCATGCCCAAAATCTCAGGAGGAGAATAAAGGAGAAAGGGCTGCAGTGTGGCCATGCCTCCTGGGGAGTGATTTCTTACTTTTCCTTTCACTGTCTCTGTCTAGCGAGCGTGCATGCCCTATGACAAAAATCTTTTAAAAAACGTAAGTTCATGAAAAACTGAAATTAAAGTATGAGTTTATTTTGGTGCAAAAAATTGTTGAAACCCATGTGTAGATTTTTTTATTATATGCATTTCCCATGCATATCTTAAAGATGCCTTGTCCGATCTACAATTTTTTCATGGCGTTTTTTTTTTTTTGAGAGTTTTTTGTTTTGTTTTGTTTTTGCTATAGGGCGCATGCACTCGCCGGAAAGACAGAGAGAGACAGTGAGAAATCACGCCACAGGGGAGATGGCCACGCTGCAATCTCTTCTCCTCCATTCTCTTCTCGGGATCTTGGGCACACATGCACACGTGCCAGGCTTGAGTTTAAGCCACCGGGTCCAGGACTCGAACCACGGTCGATTACATGGGAGTCCTGCAACAGAGCCATTACACTAACTGTCAGTCCCAATTTTTTCATGTTTAAATGTGTGCTGAATAGGATGTTAGGCAGTTAACAATGAAGATAAATAAGCAATCATTAAAAGGTAGTGAATTCAATCTGATTTTCTTCTTCTTTTTTTTTTATTTGTCAGAGGGTGTGTGCACTTAAGAGCGCATAATCCCTTCTCTTCCACCTTTCCCTCCTTTCAGGATTTTGGACAGACACAAACACACACACACACAGTGTGTTTTTCAAGCTAGACAGTCAGCCGGACAGCCAGCCATCTGGAATCCAGTAGCTTTAACTACTACACCACCAGATGGTCCTGATTTTCTATTTTAGGCAGTTTGCTGTATCAGTAACAATAAACCAAATATTGTTTGTATTCACTTTTAGAATACATTAACATATTCTACTAAGAATAAGTAAATATTTGATCTCCCAAATAAAATATGTCTCTTATTTTAAATTTCTAAGGAAGTATCGTTGTTTACCCAGTAGAAACAACTAAGTCATTTCCCTGGGCTTGTGTAGACTGAGACACCTCTTCAGAATCACAAGTATTTGAAGGTGAAAGGTCCTCTACGGTCTGTACACATGGCGATTCAGCCTCTTCCTTCTCGTAACCCAATTTATCTTTTTCTCTTGATGTCATGAGGGAAGCCACATCCTAGAAGAAAAAAATTTTCATTCAGTGTTAGTGAAAGTAAAGGAAATAATAACTTTCATATACTATCAAAAGAATAAATTGGTATAGTCTTTGTAGAGGACAACTGTTAGAATCTACCAAAATTTGGGACCAGCTGATGGCAGAATGGTTATGTCACTGGACTCCCACATAGTCGACCGTGGTTCAAATGTAGGACCTGGCAGCTAAAAACTAATGCTGGGTCCGTGTGTGTGTGTGCCCAAGATCCCATGAGGAGACTGGAGGAGAAGGGACTGCATTGTGGCCATCCCCCTAGGGGGTAATTTCTCACTTTCTGTCTCTCTCTCTGGTGAACATACGTGCCCTATAGCAAAAATATCTTTAAAAAAAAAAATAAATAATCTACCAAAATTGCAAATTCCCAGCAATTTCACTTCTAGAAATTAATCTTATAAAAGTACTCAATTATCTAGAAATGTATATACAAGGATATTTATTACAACAATTTAAAAACTCTCCTCCAAAGAAAATTTTAAAATTGTAAATAAGATAACTGTATCTGTAGAGGATTAAATAAATTTTAATTTCTTTTTTTTTGGAGAGGTTTTTGCTATAGGGTGCGTGCGCTCGCCGACAGAGAGAGACAGAGAGACAGAAAGCGAGAAATCACCCCCCAGGGGGGATGGCCATGCTGCAATCCCTTCTCCTCCATTCTCCTCTTGGGATCTTGGGCACGCACGCACACGCGCCCGGTGTGAGTTTTAAGCCACTGGGTCCGGGATGCGAACCGCAGTCGACTACATGGGAGTCCGGTGACATAGCCATTACGCTAACTGCTGGTTCCCAAATAAATTTTAATTTCTTTACAATGTAATCATACATAGTCAATAAGAAAAAATAAATTTTTTTGTACTGATCCAAAATATGTTCACAATATTGTATTAAGTGGAAAAATCTGAAGGTCAGAGATAATGCCATTTTTGGAAAAGAATAAAAATATTTGTAAATTTTGGGACGAGCAGTTAGCATAATGGTTATGTCGCTGGACTCACATGTAGTGGACCACGGCATGAGTCCCAGACCCGGTGGCTTAAACTCATGCCAGGTGTGTGTGTGCACACGTGCCCAAGATCCCAAGAGGAGAATGGAGGAGAAAGGACTGCAGCATGGCCATCCCCCTGGTGGGTGATTTCTTGCTTTCTGTCTCTGTCTTTCTGGCGAGCGCATGCGCCCTATAGCAAAAACCTCTAAAATAAAAAAAATAATAATAATTAAAAAAAAAACCTTGTAAATTTTACTATTTTATAAATAAGTATGTACAAAGAAAAGTCTAAACGATTACATTCAGAATTGCTTTAGGATTTAACTTGAGAGAATATGGAATATTATAAATGACTATCACTTTTTAGAATATATCATTTTTTTCCAAAATTAAAGCTTTTATAATCAGGAAGAAAAATTAAATATAAGTTTTTCTTTAAAGATATAAAGCTAGGAGAAAAAAGTATAACTGTTCATATACAGTAAAGAACTAAGTATTTTAAGATGTCAAGTAAGAATTTTAATACTAGGGACCAAAAATGGTATAATGGTTACATCGTTGGGCTTCCATGTAGTCAACCACATTTCAAATCCTGGACCGGGTGACTTAAAACTCATACCAGCATGTGTGTATGTGTGCCCAAAAACCTGAGAAGACAATGGAGGAAAAACGATTGTGGCATGGCCACCCCCCTCCCTGGGGGTGGAGGTGATTTCTCACTTTCTATTTCTCTGGTAAGCTCACAGGCCCTATAGCAAAAATCTCTCCCCTAAAAAAGAAATTTTAATTCTAAAAAGTAATTTTATATTTATAAACGCTGACTTTACTTATGAACATTAACATTTGATTTAGAAATTTTTGAAGCTATATCATACAATCTTAATCTGTCATGGGCTAAGTTAATGAAGTTAATAAAATACTTTAACTCATATCAAGATTTTCACTTTTCACTTGACCTTCAGGACAGAGAAAAGAACTATTTCTCCCATTTTTCTAATGAAAAACCTTGTTAATTATTTGGCTATGGTTGCATAGCCAGAACTTGAATTATAGTTCAGGCCTCCTAAGTGCCTTCCCATGCACACTTGCCCATCATCAGACACCAAAGTCTTATGTAATTATGCACAACAATATCACACACAATAAAAATTACATGAAAAAAAAACTGTAAAATTTTAACTCCAGATATTTTAATAACAATGTCTTTTTCTCACACACACCACCTCGATCTCGAGTATCACTCACATGCTGAGAAGGCAGAGTACCAGCCTGTTCACGATTCTCTTGTATCACAACAGTCTCCACTTTATCAGTTTCTGATTCCTTCCCAGGTACATATTTTTTGGCTTCAGTAGTCTCTCTCTTTAGAACTGCTCTCGTTAGATTTGGTTTTGGTCTTTTGAATCGACTTCTCACAAAAGGTGCTGGTTTAACTTCAAGTGGTTTCTGTTCTTGAGGAAGAGATTTGCTTTGGGGACAAGAATTATTAAACTTTAGAATTAACTGAAGTCGCAGTGAGAGTAGAGTCTTGAACCAACCTTAGAGGCTGGCAGTAAACATTTAATACTAATTCTTAACAGGAAAACAAATCAAACTATTTGGGAGATCCTGAAAACCATGAGTGGTACGATTCAAGTATGAGCCTAGAAATATCATCTTTGCACAAAGAAAGTACACATGTGTCAAACTCATATTGACTTAGGAGTTTGTGCTACATACCCTTTTATGTGTTTCTAATTCTCACAACTGTCAGACTGACCTCAATGCTCTCTACCAGTCTTCCAAACGATCTTAAAATCTCAAACATTATCCTATACAGCCACTCTTTATTTAAAGGACCTACCTGTTTAATGACCTCTTGGACTTAACGACCAGCACAAAGAATCCCCTTTCTCAGTTTTTGTCTCATTCTGGTAATCAGTTAGTGTTGATAATCCAAAGAGTCACAACTACACAAGACTACATATTTTGTTTATAAATTTATACTTTACTATGCAACCACAGTAATATTCAGAACACACACACAAAAATACACCAGATTTATATTATCAAGTTGTGGTATGTCTTGTCTCTTTCTTGTGCTTATCTAATGTATGTTTTTTGTATGGGTAGAATTACATTGTTCTAGTGTGGTGTTGCATGATTTCTATTGAAAAATACATGCCCTATGGCACCATGATATGCTACAAGACATCCACCTTTAAGCTCCTCACTTATCAATCAATTTGCTTAATGACCTAGTCATAACAGCTTACGAGAGGGATGCCTATATATGTTATGCCTTGAAACCTTAGTTTGATATAATCTACAAATATAACTTTGTATGTTTTTTCTTTAAAAGCACACAGATCTATACACTTGTACCTTAAATTAATGTCTGAAAACTGTTCTGGAACATCTGGAGGTCTCATCTTCTCTTCTACTGTTTTACCAAGTTCAGAAGTCTGTGAAGTCTTCAAATGACTTAAGTGACTTGATACTTCCTTTTCAGAATTGCTTTTATCTTCTACAGATGCATGCATAGGCAACAGGACTTCACTGGTAATGTTCTGGAGGAAGTCATAGTAAATCAGCACATACAGAAGAGTCCTTAAGCTTTCCTATTCTCAAACAAAAGCCTCCTTTACATTTTCCTTTAACATTCTAGAAGTTTGTTTTAATTTTTAAATAAAATAAAAATGTAGGGTCAGCAGGTGACGTAGTGGTTGAGGGAGCTGGACTGCCAAATGACCAACAGGGTTCAAGTTCTGGACCTGGTGGCTTGCTTTCTCATTTTCTCTCTCTCATGCTATCCTTCTCTTGTCAAATTAAAATAAATAAATAAATGGTTAATGTTCAATAATTCTTTTTAAAAATAAATAAAATAAAAATTTAACTTACAAATGTTAAAACCTAGAATTCTAAAAACTCCCTTTTGCATGGCATATTATAATTATTCCAAACCACAAATGCCTTACTTATCAAAAAAAAAAAAAAAAAAAAAAAAAACCTTTAAAAAATGTCATTGAAAATGTTGGGGCCGGCAAGTGGCGTAGTGGTTAAGGGCACTAGACTCGCAGAGTTGACTGTGGTTCAAGTCATGGACTTGGTGGCAGCTTCCTTTCTCACTTTTTCTCTCTCTTGCTATCTCTCTCTCTCTCTCATTCTGCCCCTCTCTGGTCAAACTAAAATAAATAAATAAAGTTAAATTAAAAATTCTTTTAAAAAAAAGTCACTGAAAATGTAGAGGAACATAAGCTTCAAGTAATTAGAACATTCAACAAAAGGAACTTTTAGAAATGAAATAAAATAGAATGGGACCAAAAAATGAGAGAAACACAGAGGAATAATTACATGTATGTTCATATAAGGGTTGGTACAAATTCAGTTCAATTTCCTATACTCCTTTTACCTAAAGGAGTAACTTAAACTAAAGTTAATAATCAGCTTCTCCACAATTAAAAAAAAAATTTTGGGAACCAGCAGTTAGCGTAATGGCTATGTTGCTGGACTCCCACGTAGTCGACCGCGGTTCGTGTCCCGGACCCGGTGGCTTAAAACTCACGCCGGGCGCGTGTGCGTGCGTGCCCAAGATCCCGAGAGGAGAATGGAGGAGAAGGGATTGCGGCGTGACCATCCCCCCTGGGGGGTGATTTCTCGCTTTCTGTCTCTATGTCTCTCTCTGTCTGTCTGGCAAGCGCACGCGCCCTACAGTGAAAATCTCTCAAAAAAAAAAAAAAATTTTTTAAGTTACCTTATAAAAAAGATCTTAGGGACCAGCAGGTGGCATAGAGGTTAAGGTGCTGAACTCTCACATGGTCAACCATGGTTCAAGGCCCAGATCTGACAGCTTAAAACTCACACCAGGCACTTGTGCATGTGTGCCAAAAATTACAGGAGACTGGGAAACCCTCTCCCAGGGGGTGATTTCTCACTTTCCCTTTTACTGTCTATCTATGGGAGTGCACACACCGTATAGCAAAAACCAATACTCAAAAATAGAGGCCAGGAGGTGGCATGGTGGTTAAGTTGCTAGACTCCCATATAGCCAACCCCAGTTTGAGTCCCAGACCCAGCAGCTTGAAAACTACACCAGGTATGTGTATATGCATGCTCAAAATCCCAGGACAATGAAGAAGGGATTATAGCATGACCTTCCCCCACAGTGGTTGATTTCTCACTTTCCCTCTGTCTCTCTCCAGCAAGCACACTCATCCCATGGCAAAAACCTTAAAAAATAATACTAAGAATAAAATAAATCCTGAAACTGGCAAAAAAAAAAAAAAAAAAAAAAAAAACTTAGAAACTTTAAATTTTGTTGGACTTAATCACAATAATCATTAAATTATTTTAGTAACTTATAAAACATTCAAGAAAATTTTTAAATGATAGAAAAATACCTACTTTTATATCTAGTGAAGGCATAGCATTGCAGTCATCATTACTGCTCTGAATTGGATTTGTCTCAGTCTGTCTTGCAGTATCAGTTTCCTCTGGTTCATTTTCCCTTGGAGAAAGGTCTCCTTTAGCACTTTGTTCCAAATTTGCCACCATTTTCTCAGTAACAGTAATCTCTTCAGAACTACTCTCCCTCAAAGAAATCTGTCTTCCAGTTTTTTTCAAATCTACCTCTGTTTCTTCAATGGCAGTCATCATTCCTGATACCTTTTCTACCAGGGAAATGTCCCTTTTTCCAGTTTCTTTCAAGTCAATCTCCCTTTCATCTATGGCACTGACCTCCACTGGCACTTTTTCCCTTTGGGAAATTTCTACTCCAACTGCTTTCAAATCTGTTTCCATTTTATCTATAGTATTGACCTCCTCTGGGACCTTAACTGGAGAAAATATTTGTCTTCTTTCAGTTTCATCCAAATCTGTCTCTTTTTCCTTAGTGGCATCTATCACTTCTCGTATCTTAACTCTTTCATTTTCTTTCAAACCTGTCTCCATTTCACCCATATGCTTGACCTCTTCTGAGACATTTTCCTCTGGGGCTATTTCTGTTCTTCCAGTTTCTTTCAAATCTTTGTCTATTTCATCTATTTCTTCAGTGATATCCATCACCTCTAATATCTCTTCCCTTAAGGAAATTTCTACTCCAGTTTCTTTCCAATCTCTCCCCATTTCATCTATAGGCCTTGCCTCTTTTGGGGCATTTTCCAGTGGGGAGATATGTCCTCTTCCATTGTTTTCCAAATCTCTCTCTTTTTCTTCTGTGACATCAACCATCTCTGTTATTTTATCCCTTGAAAAAATCTCTTTTTCAGTTTTCAAATCTGTCTCCATTTCACTTATAGGCCTAGCCTCCTCTGGGGTATTTTCCTGTGCAGGTATTTCTCTTTTTCCAGTTTCTTCTGAATCGGTGTCTATTTCCTCAGTGACATCAATCACCTCTGATATCTCCTTCCTTGGAGAAATCATTCTTTTAGTTTCTTTCAAAACTGTCTCTATTTCACTTATAGGCCAAGGCTCCTCTGAGACATTTTCCTGTGGAGCTATTTCTCTTCCAGTTTTTTCCAAATCTGTATCTACTTTCTCAGTGACATCCATCATCTCTGGTGTATCCTCTCTTGGAGAAATTTCTCCTTCAGTTTCTTTCAAACCTGTCTCCATTTCACCTATAGGTCTAGCCTCCCCTGGGATACTATCCTGGGAGGATATTTCTCTTTTTCCAGTTTCTTCCAAGTTGGTGTCTATTTCCTCAGTGACATCAATCACCTCTGGTATCTCCTCCCTTGGAGAAATCTTTCTTTTAGTTTCTTCCAAAACTGTCTCTATTTGACTTACAGGCCTAGATTCCTCTAAGACATTTTCCTGTGGAGCTATTTCTCTTCTTCCAGCTTCTTCCAAATCTGTGTCTATTTCCTCAGTGACATCCTTCAACTCTAGTATATCTTCCCTTGGAGAAATTTCTCTTTCATTTTCTTTCAAAGCTGTCTCCATTTCACCTATAGGTGTAGTCTCCTCTGGAGTACTATCCTGGAGGGATATTTCTCTTTTTCCAGTTTTTTCCAAACCTATGTCTATTTCCTCAGCATCATCAATCACCTCTGATACCCCCTCTCTTGGGGAAATTTCTTTTTCAGGTTCTTTCAAATCTTTCTCTATTTCACGTATAGACCTATCCTCCTCTGGGATATTTTCCTGTGGGAATATTTCTCGTCTTCTAGCTTCTTCCAAATCTGTGTGTATTTCCTCACTGGTATCAAATACCTTTAGTATTCCTTCACTTGGAGAAATCTCCCTTCGAGTTTCTCTCAAATCTGTCTCCATTTCACCTACAGGCTTAACCTCTTCTAGGGCATTTTCCCGTGAGGCTGTTTCTCTTCTTGCAATTTCTTCTAAATCTGTGTGTATTTCCTCAGTGGCATCAATCACTTTTGGTATTTTCTCTCTTGGAGAAATCTCTCTCTCAGTTTCTTTCAAACCTGCCTCCATTTCCACAGAGATGTTAATCAGTTCTGGTATATCCTCCCTCAGAGAAATGTCTCTTCTTTCACATTCTTTTAAATCTGACTCCTTTTCAGTAGTTTTGGTAGTTTCTATTGGTACCTTCTCCCTTGGTGAGATGTCTAGGCTTACAACGTCTCTCAACTCTGTTGCCATTTCCCCAGTGACAATAGTCTCCTCTGGAACCTCTTCCTTTGAGGAAATGTCTCTCCTTCCAGTTTTTCTTCTGATATTTGGCTTTGGTTTCTGAAATCGAGTCCTTGGAATTGGGACTTGTTTAACTGTATTTGTTTTATTATCCTCTTGAATACTATATAAAAAAAAAAAGGACACAAAATAAAGTTTTAAACCTAATTGCTAGCTGACGATAAGATGTTGAGAAATCATTATGGAAACACTACAAACTCTCAAATTAAGAAAAAAATAAGGAAGCCCAGAGATATCAGGGTAAAATTTAAAAGTTAGAGGAGAAAAAAAAATTCTATCTTTTGAAATATTGGCCCTGAATAGTTTCTTTCCAATTGTCATCTATACCATCCTATATAAACATCAGCTTGGAAACAATCTTCAGTCCTCAAGGTGTATCTGTTATTTCTACACATTGTTCCAACTGACTTTTACCCAGAGATATGGTTTACCATGACAGACTAGACAATATCAAATAGCTAGATGAAAACAGAACTTGAGGGGCTGGCAGGTGGCATATTGGTTAAGATGCTGGACTCCCACATGACTGACCATAGTTTGAGTCCCAGACCTGGCAGTTTGCTTTCTCACTTTCCTTCTCTCTCTCAGTCTGTGGTCAATTTAAAAATAAAATAAAATAAAATAAAATAAAATAATAGCAATGAATACAATTAAATAAGAAATAATTCTTAAAAAAAAATAGAACTTGAATAAGATAAAGTCTTATGACTAAGAACTAAGTCTGCCCTACCCACTTTTTAAAAAACAATCTAAAATGCCCACATGACTGACCATAGTTTGAGTCCCAGACCTGGCAGTTTGCTTTCTCACTTTCCTTCTCTCTCTCAGTCTGTGGTCAATTTAAAAATAAAATAAAATAAAATAAAATAAAATAATAGCAATGAATACAATTAAATAAGAAATAATTCTTAAAAAAAAATAGAACTTGAATAAGATAAAGTCTTATGACTAAGAACTAAGTCTGCCCTACCCACTTTTTAAAAAACAATCTAAAATGAGGTTTTCAGTACATTTCAGGTTTTCTGACATCTCTCTAAGAGCCTGTGATTTCACAAGACAAACTGGGAATAAAAGAACAGGTTAAACACACAACAGTATTTTGCTAAATACTACCAGGTATACAATCATTATCCAGAACAAACACCTTGCTGCTCTCCAGAAATGTAGCGGCATTCTTTGCTTTGTGCTCTGTTTACTTATAATAGATGTTTTAAAACTAATAAAAATATAAATGAGTGAAAGAGGTCTTAGTGGTTGGGTAAGGAAGGTCATTGGTGTTCACTGTGGCTCAGCAATAGTGTGTTGCTCAGTGATGCTGGAGCCAAACAGAAAATCCCATTTTGGTTCCTAGGCTGACTGGTACATGCTGTGGATCTGGTTGGCTGGGAGGGCAGAGGAGAGGATCACTGTGTGAGGCCCTGGCTGACAGTGCCCATCTTTCTTTTTCCCTTTCTCTCATCTCTCTCCTTCTCTTTCTTTCTTTTTTTTTTTTTTTTTCCTAACAGAGAGATTTTTGCTATAGGGCATGTGTGCTCACCATAGAGAGACAGACAAAAAGCGAAAAACCACCCTCCCCCAGAGGGGGAATGACCATGCTATAATCCCTTTTCCTCCATTTTGGTCTCAGGATCTTGGGCACACGCACACCTGGTTTGAGTTTTAAAGCCGCCAGGTCCAGGACTCAAACCACAGTCAACTACGTGGGAGTCCAGCGACATACGATTACACCATCTGCTGGTCCCATCTCCCTTTTCTCTATCATAAAGGAAAGAAACTTTTTAAATAATTGTCATTATGCTTTAGCAAAAATGAAATCAAACGAGACACTAAACTTATTCAGACATGTCAGGTTGAATGAGCATGTAACTACAAACTGAACAGCTTAAAAAAAGATCAGGGTGTGCTCCATGACACCGAGGTAATGCATTGCTCAAGAGAGGCAGGATCCTGCATGGTGACTGTGTTCAATCTGGCCTGCTTAGCCTGAAACACAAGAGGCACACACAAGAGCCCAGGCTGAAGGAGGAGGTTCATAGTATGAACAGACACTGTAGAGAATGCTCACTTTTCTTTTATCTGCCTTTCATGTGCATATACACACACTCTATCATGAAAAAAATTATTAAAAGTAATATGCAATTGCTTGTTTGAACTTTTCTAGGTCTGAGTACATCTTTCTTCATTAAAATAATTTTTTACAATGTAATTTTTTTATAATAACATCCAGAAACAGCTAGCTTTTAGTGAGGTTACTGTGCTAGTAATTTTGGTTTGGGTTATCATGGGAAAAGATAAGACTATCTTGATAAAGTCACATTTCAAACACTGGCATATTCTTTAAACATATAAATGTTTTAACCAAAGGTTTTATTCATAATTTCATTACTTCAGTATCAGTTCGGATTGTAAAATACGACTATATTATAAGTATATTCTACATGCTTAGAGTGTTTCTACATAATAAAAAGACTTTAATGCAGCCAGTGTTTTCCAGCCACAGGGTCCAGGACTCAAACCATATAGACAACCATGTAGGATCCAGTCACCTTAACCTCCACACCACCTGGCTGATCCCTGAAGTTATACTTTTAAACATTATGTGTAACATTATATACAAAAAAAATAAATCTACCTATTTGCAATTTTTAAAATGGGATTAAAGAATTCTTTTTTTTTTTTTAAAAGAGAGTTTTTTTGCTATAGGGTGCATGCATTTGCTGGAGAGACAGAAAGGAAGAAAGAAATCACCCCCCAGGGGAGGTGGCAATGTCACAATCTCTTCTCCTCCATTCTCCTCTTGGGATCTTGGGCAAGAATGCACAAATGCCTAGTGTGACTTTTAAGCTGCTCGGTCTGCGACTTGAACTGTGGTTGAGGATCTAGGAGTTCAGCAATGTAACCATTATGCCATTTGGTGGTCCCAAAGGATTAATGAATTCTAAAACTTGGTACTAGATTCAAAAATCACATAATCAATGAAATGATGCTTACCTTGGGCATTCATCAAGAGCCTTGGGCTCATATGACTGCACGTTATGAAAAGAAGGGTCTTTTTTCTCAGCCTGTGATGTGATGTCTTCATGCTCAAAAATTTTACAAGACTGATCTTCTAATTGTTGAAGAATCACCTTAAAATACAAATTTTTAATATTTTAGGTTTAACAAAGGAACACATTATTTTAAAAGATTTCACATTTTTTCCAATTTGAATATTTTTTAAATGGTAAAAATTTCAAAATTATAAAATCACATTCAAAGGACACTTTTTTAACTGCCTGAGGGCACATACATTTCTTGCCAGAGAAAGAAAGAGAGAGAAAGTACTTGCCATAGAGGTGTGGTCACACCACAATCCTTTCTTTTCCATTTTGCATCCTATAATGACCTGAGGCACGCACACACATGTACCCAGCCTGTTTTTTAAGCCAGTGGGGCTGACATTCAATCCATAGTTGTCTATGTGGGACTCCCTTAACCATCAGCACACAGGACCAATCCCAAAGGAAACTTCTAGTTTTTTTAGATATTCTAGAAAATTTTTTAAGTCATACCTTTTCATCATATCTCAAAGTCCTTCTTTTCTTCCCAATCAGAAAGTAACTACTGGGAACCAGCAGTTACCATAATGGCTACATCTCTGGACTCCCACGTAGTCGACCATGGTTCGCGTCCCGGACCCGGTGGCTTAAAACTCATGCCGGGCGCATGTGCATGCGTGCCCAAGATCCCGAGAGGAGAATGGAGGAGAAGGGATTGCGGCGTGACCATCCCCCCTGGGGGGTGATTTCTCGCTTTCTATCTCTATGTCTCTCTCTGTCTGTCTGGCGAGCGCACGCACCCTATAGCAAAAACCTATCAATAAAAAAAAAAAAAGAAAGTAACTACTTTTGTCTCATCCATTAGAATTACCCAAAATGGTCCATCTTTCTGAATTTTTCTGATTATTACAATTCCATTATAGATTATGGGAATTATCACTGAAGAAATTCAAATCTCAATCATGAAAATATTTATTATGAAGATTATATACGTAAAATAGGACCAGCCAGAGGTCTGGTAGTTAAAAAAGCTGGATCCCACATGAAATACACACCAGGTGCAATTGTGTGCATGCCCAAAATCCTGAAAGGAGACAGAAATGGAGAAGGGATTGCAATGTGTCCCTTCCTCAAGGGAAGGGCTTTCTCCTTCTCTCTCCCCTTTTCCCTCTCTCTCTCAGGTGAGTTGCCTTCTGGTAATTTTTAAAAATATAAACCAAAATCCATTTTACTTAGCTATCTTCTCAAGAGAAAGGTAATTAAAACATCCACTGAATGGCAAAGAAAATCAAGTACAAATATGACCTAAGGTAAAAGAAAATTATCTATCAAGTAAATATGATTTTATTATTAGCAAAGCTATTGGCTGTGAGACTTTGACCATAAATTTAATGAATGATACACAAATTGTATAGCACTGCTATTTGAAAAGGTGTTTGTGGAAAGCTTATGTTAAGGCTTATGTGCTTGTTAAACAAAAATGTGGGGAGGCATCAGAGTACTTACATCTCTACCATCACATGATTCTTTTTCACCCTTTCCTACACTGGCCTCCATTGTTTCCTGTGATCCAAGAGTTCCTTTTCTTTCGGTAGCTTTACCTACATTTGGCTTTGCCCTTTGCAATTGGGCCCTCGTCAGTCGTGCAGGTCTGAAAACCTTTGGTTGATTATCTTCTTGCAGACAAATATTTTCACTCAAACTGGAACAACCACAAGAAATAAAATCAATGTTTATGCTGAAGTCACAAACTTCCTTGTTTCTCAGTATTTCCTTTTCCCTGGCATGAATAAGTAAATTATGTGGAATATAAAATAGTGCACAAGTATCCTTAGGAGCTTCTTCAAAGATGCTCATATGTCTACACCTTACTCTTTAGAACAGACATAACCCTGGAAGTCGGATTGTAAAAATTGTCTTTCAATGAAATTTTCTTTTTTTTTTAAAGAATTATTTTTATTTAATTTTGTTTACTTATTTGGGACAGAGCAAGAGAGAGAGAGGAAAAGTGAGAAAGTACGCCACCAGGTCTAGGACTCGAACTGCGGTTAGCCATGTGGGGGTCTAGCACTCTTAATTAACCACCATGCCACCTGCCAGTCCCTCAATCAAATTTTCATTAAAAAATTGGAAAAACCCACAGCTGACAAGAATGTGTTACTATTCCTCTCTCAGGACACTAGTGTATAATGAACTACAAATTAGTCCCAAATTATGGTAGAAATAGTACTCTCCAGAAGAACCCAGAATCCAGCCTATGATGTGATAAGATATATTCAGTCTGTGATAAATCCTATTTAGATTCACAATAGAATAAAGAATAAGGTCAGTAAGCCAGGATAGCAGATTTCCAAGCCAAGATAAATATTGCTTTATGAGACCAGAGAATGACATAATAGTTAGGTCATTAGATTCCCACATAGTTGACTGCGGTTCAAGTCCCAGACTCAGTGGCTTAAAAACACACCAGACACGTGCATGCCTGTGCCCAAAATTCTGAGAGGAGATTAAAGAAGAAGGAACTGCAGCATGGTCATCCCTAGGGGATGATTTCTCGCTTTCTGTCTCTCTGTCTCTCTCTGTGTCTCTAGCAACCACACACACCCTATAGCAAAAATCTCTCTCAAAAATCAATAAATAGGGACCAGCAGTTAGCGTAATGGCTATGTTGCTGGACTTCCACGCAGTAGATCACGGTTCAAGTCCCAGACCCAATGGCTTAAACTCATGCTGGGCACGTGTGCATGCCTGCCCAAGATCCTGAGAGGAGAATGGAGAAGGGATTGTGGCGTGGCCATCCCCCCTGGGGGGTGATTTCTCGCTTTCTGTCTCTCTGTCTCTCTCTGTCTGTCTGGCGAGCGCACGTGCCCTAGAACAAAAACCTCTCCAAATAAATAAATAAATAAATAGTGCCTTTTGTCATCCCCTGCTACAAATGCTATTATTCAGGAACATGCATCTTATTTTTTATTTAAAGAGGTTTTTGCAGGACCAGCAGGTGATATAATGGTTATATCACTGGACTCTCACATAGTCTACCATGGTTCAAGTCCCAGACTGGGCAGCTTAAAACTCATGCCAGGTACATGTGCATGCATGCCCAAAATTCTAAGAGAAGAATGGAGAAGAAACTGCAGATGGTCATTTCCCCAGGAATCGCTTTCTGTTTCACTGTCTCTCTGATGAGTGCACACACCCTATGGCAAAAATCCCTCTTAAAAAAAAAAAAAAAAAAGGGACCAGGACCAGCAGTTCCAGTAATGGCTATGTCTCTGGACTCCCATGTAAGTTGACCATGGTTCGAGTCCCAGACCCAGTGGCTTAAACTCACGCCAGGCATATGTGAGTATGTGCCCAAGATCCCGAGAGGAGAATGAAGGAGAAAGGACTG